GGCTGCCCACTGCATCAGGTAACTACCACTCCCTGGGCACTTGGCCTGCTCACCAGCCGGTCCTCAGTTCTGAGCTGGGGGCTACATAAAGGAATCTTGCAAATAACCACTAACCTGACTGAGACACAACCTGTAGTCAATCAATGGTTCAGTGTTTTGGCCCATCAATGTCAGTACATGGCATAGATGGGGTGTCCTGTGCCAGGTACTGAGGGAGGATGAGGAGAAGGGGAAGGCCTAATCTCTGTCCTCTTGGGGAAACTACCTGTGGCCTCTGGATCTGGAATTGGGTTCCCTTGAACAACTTGACTTCTCAAAGCTTCAATACCATCACCTGCAGAAAACAATGGAGTAACAGAATTTAGTATGAATTCAATGAGCTGATTAACTAAAGGGCCTGGCACTTAGTAAGTGCCCAGTGAAAGCTAATTCTGAATTAAAGACTAATTATAAAGGCCCACGAGGTTCTGCAACGTTGTACACTTATCCTCTTTGTTGTCTGTGACCTCTGCTCATCACAGCTGGAACTCACCAGAGCTTTTGCTGGGTCGTTGTGACTCCCTACCAGGAGAGATCCCTTCTCCCACCTAATTTATACTAAGCTCTAGGAGGTGATGGGGAAACTAATACAGACCTACAGTCAGGAGTCCTGGCTTCTAGTTCTGGTTTCTCACTAATGGAGGGACTCGGGCAGGTTACACCTCTCTGGGCCTCAGTTTCCCCATCTGAAAATGAAAGGTCAGAAAAATGTCTTTGAGAGCAAATGACTCCTGTTTTCTCTGTGTTCATCTCATTCCCTCCATAAAACTATAGAGTCTGTGTTATTACAACATTTATTTTATATTGTAGTTTAAAGTTAGTATAGTAACAATTATTATATGATCATAGTTCTTACGTTATATACTTTAGGCTCTATTATAAGTAACTGATTGTCCCAGGGGAAGAAAGATCCCCAAGCCCAAGCCCCACCTAGTGGCTCATGCAGCAGCCAGTTACTTGGGTCTATCCCAACATTATCCAAAGCCAGGCCTCTGGAGGTGACCCTCTCCCTGGGCCCCCTTTCTCCCAGCTCCTCCAGGACCTACCGCGTGGTGCTGGGACGGCACAACCTCGACATTGCGGAGTCCGGCTCGCTGGCCGTCAGGGTCTCTAAGACTGTGGTGCATCCGGACTGGGACTCCAGCGATGTCTCCAATGGGTTCGTTTCTGTCTGGATGCACTTGGGGGTGAGGTTGTCAGGGAACAGATGGGGTCTCACAGAGGCAAGGGTCTCAACTCCACCACATGCCCTCTGCTTCTTCTGTAGGGAGGGAGAAGGAGTTCTGGCCTCTTAGATGTGGAACCAGCTCCAAAGATGTCTGGGGTGGGGATGTGACCTGGGGAGGGAGAAGCAAAGACTGCCAGAGTGACCGGGGTTTGCTGACAGTCAAGCGTGCAGGGTCCCTGTCCGATGAGCCTGTATCTACTTCATGCCAAGTCCTGGGGACACAGGGACAGTGCTGTCGATCCTGTGAATGTCCCTGGAGGGCACAATCTCTCCTGCCTTGCTCCTTTCAACAAGGCCCTCTGCATTTTCAAACATGCTCTGGGATCCTGCCACTCAGAGCAAGCTGGGGTAACGTACAGGGAATGATGACAAGGTCTCAGAGCCCTCCAAAGCCCCACAGGGCAGGAAAAGTCAACCCTGTCCTCATGCTCTGCCTCTGCACTGGCCCAGGTACGACATTGCCCTGCTCAAACTGGCTAACCCCGTCTCCCTCACTGACAAGATCCAGCTGGCCTGCCTCCCTCCTGCCGGTGCCATTCTACCCAACAACTACCCCTGCTACGTCACGGGCTGGGGAAATCTGCAGAGTAAGTGGGAGCCAGGAGCCCCCAGGCCTGGGAGGGAAGGGAGGTGATGTCACCCCTGTCTGGCCAGGGCCTCTCACCTGTCATCCCAGGATGTGTGGCTGCCTGAGAGAGACGGGATGGCATAGGCTGATGCCTGCCTGGGTTCAAATGTCAGCTCTCCCACTTCATGACTGTGACACCTTGGGCACATTACTAGGTCTCTCCATGCAGCACTTTAATCATATGTAAAATGCAAATAATTGGCTGGGCGCCGTGGCTCACGCCTGTAATCCTAACACTTTGGGAGCCCTGCTGGGTGGATAACTTGAGGTCAGGAGACCAGCCTGACCAACATGGAGAAACCCCCTCTCTACTAAAAATATTTTTAAAAAGCAGGGTGTGGTGGTGTGCGCCTGTAGTCCCAGGTACTCAGGAGGCAGAGGTAAGAGAATCCGTTGAACCCGGGAGGTAGGGGTTGCAGTGAGCCAAGATTTCGCTACTGCACTCCAACCTGGGGGACAGAGCGAGACTGCGTCTCAAAAAAAAAACCCCAAAAATGGGCATAATAATAGCAGCTACATCACAGAGTTGGCAAGAGGATTAAAGGAGATAATCCATAGGAAGCCTGGCATGTGGGAGGTGCTGTATGTTAGTTGTTGTCACTGTCCCTATGATGGAAAGAAAGTTACAGAGACCATGTGACATCTTCTGTGTGGCCCACAGGGTTCAGAACAGCATTTTCCTCTGTGACCTGAGGCCCCTGGAGCCCTCATCGGACCCTCCGTGCCCCATGGCAGAAGCTGTCCCCTGTTCCATTCGGTCTTGCTGCTCAGAACCTGGCTGAGGGCGGGTCTCCTTTGACATAGACTCCAGGGGTTAGAGATCCAATGACAGTAGCCACCAAGAGGAACAGAGTTCCCGCCCTTCCCTTGTGAAATCACCAGAGGTTTGGAAGATTCTAGGAAGGGATGAGTGATAATGACCTTATGACCATAACGACATGATGAGTGATAATGACATTATGACATTTCTCCCTAATGACATAAACACATAAGTATAATTACATATTTTTCCAGGGGTACATCCACTTACATATCCTCGAATAAATCCCCATTGCCCTCTTGACTGGCTTATCTGTAAACACAAGGACACATGAAATCCTGCAGTGAGCGATGGTGGAAGAGGCATTTCATGCTTGTTAAGACAGAAGCACAACCACCTGTTTGTTTCCCCGACAATGCTGAGGCAGATGCAGTTCATCTGAGACAGTGAGAGCAGGGACACATCCAAATGCTTGGCTTTTAGGCCCAGCTCTGTCAGTCACGGTGAAACTTTGGGCAAGTCACTTCCGAACCTAAGTTTCCTCATCTGTAAAACAGAAACACAGTTGGTGAAGACCAAAAGAGGTGAAAGGTAAAAATGCTTCCTACACTGCAACATGTTATACAAGTGTTAATTACTTATTAGTGATCTTAAGCCAG